TTCGGATTTTAAATTAGTCCAAACAAATGCAACATTTGTTATATCAAGTAACATCATAATTCTCTGTTGCCAACGCTTAAAATTAAACCCGTTAAAAGACTCAATTTTTCTCACATCAGGAATGGTCTTGTTTATAGTTGTAGCATCCATATTAATTTCTATTCTTAAGATTGTTGTAAAAATATCAAATCAAGAATGCTAAAAATCATATAATAAACAAGACAAGAAAACTTATCGATAGAGGCGTGTAGTCACTGTCCTTAAAAATAGATTTTCGCCCCTCTGAATATGAAATCCAGTGCAAAAGGTTATGACGTCCTATCTTTCAACATTCAACTATTATTTCTTCATAAGCGTGCACTCGCAAATAAACTCACCGTGTATAAACACAAGAAAATCTACTTGGCAGTAGACTTTTTTCTATTTTTTCCCGCTTTGCTTTATGTGTATTTTCCCTCTTTGTTTTCTGTATTTTTGCTTTTCGTACACTGACTTACCTTAAGTCTGAAGGGTGTAGGCTTTATATAATGTTTGAATAGTTGCAAAACAGAGGGATGTATTGGTTGCGGTCAATTACAAATTTCAACGGTTAATAACCAATAATCAATACTTTATTTTCCATTTAATATAATTAACTAACACAATATAACTAAAAAAATAAATGGTCATAACGTGTATTGTTCAGATCATCTAATAGGTCTAAAAATAATTTTAATTTTAATTTTTTTAAATTTATATTCCTATTCACACATATATGTTAGAAATAAATAAATAACTATTATATTTTGAAATATATATTAAATACAACAGCTACAACCATCTTCATGGATGAATTCTTAACTTTGACCATTTTTGGCTCCGTAGAATGTCGGATTTGTATGGGTCATATATATTTTCTATGCAAAATTTTATATTTTACGCACTGATTGGTGTTTTATCCTCATTAACACAATGATACATAGTATTTGTCACCTCTTCCAAATAAGGACATAATTTAACGAAATAAAACTTCATATATAACTTTGTATCATTCTATTGGTTAAACGTTGAACATATATAAATGCCCTTGTTACATATATTATGCTAAAAAACATTTAATGTTGTGATAAAAACATTCAGTCTTCTATGCCATAAATAAAGCACACTAAATCATATCATTATAGTCATATTTATTTGAATATATACTTTTTCACACCAACACACTTGGCCTGAGGCCATACACAGTACATACCACATGAAAATCACTTAAACGTATACGAAACCAGTCATCATCCTGGTATTATTTGCTGCGTTCAGCAACATTCATGTAAACCTTAGGTAACAAACTAGTGTTACAGCAGTGACGTTTTATTGTTATCATCCATACCATCTTATTATATGTATTTTACGATACATTATTTTGTCTGAAAAGTTCAATGGGGGGTGAGGGAGGTTGTCATCTGTGAAGACGTGGTGAGTCTCAGTAGACTATCCAGAGGGGTTACCAAACGTGCCATAGCCATCATGTCATCCTCTTTTTTGTTGTTGTTGTCGTTATTGTTGTTGTTGTCATTATTATTGACCGTGTTTTTGTCAACTACTGGTACTGAACCACTCACTAGATTTCCATATTTGCCCGAACTTCCGGGCTTATCGTTAGGTTTGGTGTCAGTTGCAACATTGTCCACTGATTTTTCATTAGGATGTGAATCTGGTATAAGCTGATTACTGGCTCTCTCTTTCTTCACATCCTCCAAAATAAACCTTTTGCCATCAGCTTGAAAGCATATCAAAACTAACCCAAGAAGGAATAGAGCTATGATTAAAGCCTTCATGATTGCACTGTAATTAAACATAAAAAATTACTAACATTAGTCATCAAAAGTTCCTAACATATTGTAATTAATAAAACCATATCATGCAGCTTCATTTCAAATGAACTAAAAGACCTCCCTGTTGATGTACCTGATTTTCTCTCCCACAAATCACCTGGAGGAGCTGGCAAAGATTGGATGAAAGAAACATAATTTATAGTGGAAGATATTAAATTAGTGGTGACTAATCATAATTAGAGCGAATGCAAGATAAAGTGAGGGCAATAAGCATAGTGGAGTAACCACAATTTGGTGGATTTACTGTGGCTGTCTAGGAAAGTGGAAGAGAAATAGTACTATGTATTATCTGAAATGCTTAAAACCTAAAAAGTTTCACAAGCTATACAGTTTGGACTTGGGTTTTATTATGTGGGATTGATTTATCTTTCTATTTTTGAGGTTTTCTTGAAGAAAAATGCCACTTAGAAACTCATAGTTTTCTCACTACTACTTCGCTTTGTACGATAAAAAATGGATGGATGAAAATTGGAAGGGATATATTAATAAAGGTGGCAAATGGGTTGATTGAGTTGGTTATGGACTGGATTACAATAAATTCAATTTATTTTTTCACTCACGTATTAAATGAGTTATAATGAGTTGGATTTTATAACGGAATATGTTAAATTTATTACCCTGTAAAATAATTAAAATTCTTAATAAATACATACTAGTATACCAAAAAAAACACGCACACAGACACATTAGTACACCAAAATATAAGCATACACACACATACACTAATACATAAAAATACACATACTAATACATAAAAAATATGCACACTAATATACTAAAACACACATTACTGCAATAAAATATACACACATTAATCCATCAAAAATACACACACTAATACACCAAAAATACACACAAAACAAAATACATTTAATAAAAGAGCAATGCTAATACACACATCAAATTATTTATCAAATTTTGTATCCCAAATTGGCGTTGTTGGTTGGATCAGTGGATACTAATTTCACCAAATATTCAATGCATAAGATTTTAACACATCATTTAAGATACAAGATTTAGTAAACACATTTGAACAATACAATTTTATCCTAAATAGAAAACTAAAATACACATACATAATGGGTCGCATCAATCTTGGCCATGAGTAAGTATGTGGATTGACCCATGGGTCGAGTCATGGGTCGACTAGTGTGGCGTGGGTCATGGCAGAGAGTATTAGTGTGTCCGCACTTTTGGTGTGCTAGTATGTATGTGTTTTGATGTATTAATATATTTTTTAGTATATTAATGTGTGTATTTTTTAGTATATTAATATATTTATTTGATTTTATTACTTGTATTATTTAATAAAAAGATAAATACTCAACAAAATAGGTACCCATTTATAATCCATTTTAACCCGTTAAATTAAAATAAATCATATTATCCAATCAACTTAGAACTCGCATTAATTAATATAGGTATTCAGCCTATTTATTTGTGAATGAGGTGGACAGATTAATGAGTAATGAGTTAAAATTGTCACCTCTAAATATATAAAATATTATATTTGGTAAGAAAAAAAAATAAGAATGATGAAAAATTGGATAGATTAGCTTCCTTTTCAACTCAACAAAATTAATCCCTCTAAAATTTGGAGAAAAAAATGGATATAAAATTAATTATAGGATAAAATTGTGCTGCACAAATTCTTGCTCAAATCTTGTATCCCAAGTGATGTTTTAAAATCACATCCATTGGATATTTAGTGGAGTTAGTGGACTCCACTAATCCAACCACTTGCATTGATTTGGGATATAAAATTTGGGCAAATATTTGTACAGCATAGCATTGCTCTTAATTATATGTATTGAAATATATGATATTTATTTATTATATATTATGTATGTATTAATTTTATATATAGATATAATGATAAAATATACAACTATATTTTTTTCATCTTTCTATTTTTTCATCATATCAAACATAAAAAAAAATTATTTCTTTTTTTCATCATTTCTACCAAACACAAAGGGAGGGAAGAAATGATTTCTTCCTTGAAAAAATGATTTATTCCTTGAAGAATAGAAAGTGTATCATTCTTATTTTTCATTCTTTTAAAAAAAAAAATCGCTGCCATACATTTAGTTATCGCATTTGTGGTTATTTTATTATATTTATATGTTCTTTTATTACTGTTGTCGTACCTAAAAAATAGTTAACACAATAGTGGTAAAAGTATACACAAATATACTAAAAAAATTTAAATGTGATAAATTTTTTGTACCAAGAAAAGTGATAAAAATACCCATAAAAATAATAAACCATCCTTACAAATTAGAAAAATACTCATTAAAGTAATAAAAATTAAAAATGCGGTATCAAATTTATTTTTTTGGTACTGTAGTCAAGTCACATGATTAATTATTTCATAGTATAAGTTTTGTTGTACGTAACAACCAAATAAATAAATCAATTACAGTTGCACTCCTGTTGAATGCCCTAGATTGGGGAACATCCATTTATTTTTTGAAAATATACTGTCATCCTATATAGTTCTACTGGGTAAAACATATAATATAAGAATAATGTTTATTAGAATCTAAAAAATTGATTTAATTTATTAATTTAATGATATATATTTTTTTATAATTATTGAATTAATATCAAATTTTAATATTTGATAGGATTAATAGTCAATCTAAGGGCTACTATGAATTATATCAAAAAATTAGATCTCAATAGCATTAGTCATAATATAAAGTGTCAATTTTATAGTTTTACCTCATCTCTTTCTAATATATTGTTTAATAATTCATTTTATTTTGTTTTGACAACATTTAGTTATCGTCTCAATTTATATAAAAATGAAATAAAAATAAAGAATTAGAAAATTTCTTAATTATTTTTAGATGATCTACATGATTCTTTTAGTTTTTTTTTTTATCTTTATTTTTTATTCAGTTTGCCTTATGTAGCGATTCACGATGAGATGGATATAATTTTTTTGCTTTTTATTTTTTGTATATTATTTGTAGTTTTTTGTACCTTTGTTTTTTAAATGGGTCAATATTATATATCAATTGACCAGACCCTATCGTTTTCTTTCTCTCTCCTTAGTTCCTTCTTTCTGAACAATTTCCTGCTCACATTCTCTTTCTTGTTTAGTGCTTTGTATATTCATCAATGGCTCCTAGTTTGAGCAAAGATGGGTCTGGTACCACTGTCCTTGCCGATGGCTTGGAAGGATTAAACTTCATGGCCAATGGCCACGTGATTCTCTCCGACGTTGCTTCTAATATCACAGCCTCTCCATCACCCTATACTGCCGGCGATAAGACGGCAACAACCATAGCCGGCTGCTTCGTTGGTTTTGAAACTAACAAGGCAAAAAGCCACCATGTTGTGCCGGTCGGAAAGCTGAAGAACATAAGGTTCATGAGTATTTTCAGGTTCAAGGTCTGGTGGACAACCCAGTGGATTGGAACCAACGGCGGAGATCTGGAACACGAAACCCAGATGGTCATTCTCGACAAATCTGAGTCTGGACGGCCATACGTCTTGTTATTCCGTTATTGGAAGGTCCTTTCCAGGCTTCTGTGCAGCCCGGTAACGACGATTACGTCGACGTTTGAGTGGAAAGTGGGTCGACGAAACGAAAGTCTCCAGCTCCTCATTCCGGGGAGCTCTGTACATTCACGCCGGCGAAGACCCTTTTTCTCTGGTCAAGGAGGCCATGAAGTGATGAACGTTGCGAGAGATCATCTCGGAACCTTCAAACTCATGGAGGAGAAGACTCCACCAAGAATTGTAGACAAGTTTGGTTGGTGCACTTGGGATGCTTTTTACCTTAATGTCCACCCTCAAGGTGTCTTGGAGGGTTTGAAAGGGCTCGTCGACGGTGGTTGCCCCCCGGGGCTCGTCCTTATCGACGATGGGTGGCTGTCCATTTCTAACGACGATGACCCTATCAACCAAGAAGGCATGAACCGAACCTCCGCCGGCGAGGAAATGCCATGCAGGCTCATAAAATTCCAAGAAAACTACAAGTTCAGGGACTTCGGGAGTCCCACTGGGTCCGAGTCTGGTGCACCCACTAAGGGCATGGGTGAGTTTATCAGGGACCTTAAGGGGAACTTTAAGAGTGTGGACTACGTTTATGTGTGGCATGCACTGTGTGGCTATTGGGTGGTCTCCGGCTCACCAGAATCGAGGGTGGCGGCGCCGAAGTTGACTCCGGGATTGCAGAATACTATGGAAGATCTGGCCGTTGATAAGATCGTTAACAATGGTGTTGGGTTGGTCCCACCGGAGATTGTTGAGCAGATGTACGAGAGTCTACACTCTCACTTGGAGTCCGTAGGCATTGATGGAGTCAGAGTGGACGTTATTCACTTGTTGGAGATGTTGTGTGAGGATTCTGGTGGAAGAGTAGAGCTTGCCAAAGCATACTATAAAGCCTTGACATCTTCAGTGCGGAATCATTTCAAAGGGAATGGCGTTATTGCTAGCGTGGAGCACTGCAATGACTTCATGTTCCTAACTTCCTTGGCGCCGAGGCCATATGTCTTCGTCGAGTTGGTGATGATTTCAGGTGCACTGATCCTTCTGGGGATCCAAACGGCACATTCTGGCTACAAGGGTGTCACACGGTTCACTGTGCCTACAACAGTTTGTGGATGGGAAATTTCATACACCCTGACTGGGATATGTTCCAATCTACTCACCCCTGTGCGGAGTTCCACGCTACTTCCCGGGCAATCTCCGGTGGACCAATCTACGTCTCGGACTCTGTTGGGAAGCACAACTTTGAGCTGCTCAAAACCCTAGTGTTGCCCGATGGGTCGATCCTCCGGTGTTATTATTATGCCCTTCCGATCCGTGACTGTCCCTTTGAAGACCCTCTGCATAATGGGAAGACTATGCTGAAAATATGGAACTTGAACAAGTACACTGGAGTACTTGGCGCATTCAACCGCCAAGGTGGAGGGTGGAGCCATGAATCCAGACGTAACAAATGCGCCTCCGAACACTCTCATGCTGTGACTTCCATGGCCATCCCAATCGACATCGAGTGGAAGCATGGAACAAAGCCAATCTCAATTGAAGGAGTACAAGTGTTTGCCTTGTACATGTTCCGCGAAAAGAAACTTGTCCTCTCCAAGTTATCCGACACCATTGAAATCACTCTCGGGCCATTTAATTTCTAGCTCATAACAGTTTTTCCTGTCACTGTCATGGCTAGCAAATTTTTTGAGTTTGCTCCGTTTGGATTGGTGAATATGCTAAACACTGGTGGTGCAATCCAAGCTTTGGAATTCGATGAAGAGGCTTGCACTGTTCGAGTTGGGGTTAAGAGGACTGGAGAAATGAGGGTCTATGCTTCATAAAGACTAAGAGCTTGCCTAATCAATGGGGAAAATGCCTCATTTGGTTACGAGGGCCCTCATGGTTATTATGCAAGTTCCATGGCCCAATTCTTCGGGTTTATCTGTCATTGAGTACTTATTTTAAATTAGGGGCGGGTTATTAGGTTCTCAATTAGGAAAATAACAAATTATATTTGAATATATCATCTATTATTACTTTTAATATATATATATATATCAGTTGACCTAATTGAAAAATTGGTACTACCAAAAAAATCTTTCATGGCATCATCACTTTTATTCACGTGAACAATGATGGCATGATAATTTTGCAACGTTGGATGGTAATACTAAAACAATATGCATATTTTTCTTACTCAAACCTATTATGGTGCCGACAATCCAGCATGGTCCATGGAATTTCAAAATATGGTTAATATTTGATGACCTAATTTTGGACATAATGAATTAATATCATTCCATTGGCAATAGACCTCTATAAAATGTTGTAAACTGGCCATTTAATAAGATTAAGAGTAATGCTACTTATTCTTAATTTGGAGACATGATGTTTTATTATTATTAGATTGATAATGAGCAATGCTACTGAAACCTAATTTATTGATTTAATACATCAAAATCATTGAATTAACAAGCGACTCAACATTAATTAGAATCCGCTATCAATTTAATAATTATGATACGTTAGATCAATAAATAAAATTCAAATAATGTTTTTCTTTGATAATATACCACATTCATTGTAAAACATATTGATGATCCAATGATAATAATTCATTATAAACGGGATATCTAAATTAAGTCAAAATAATATTATTATATATTTAATGAAGCTGTTACTTCTAGTTTCTTGTCCCAGGGGCTAACATCAGCATTTTTAAGATTGAAGTTGGGTTGATATCCACCCAAATGAGAATAAGGGTTACACAATAATTAATGGAAAAACTACTCGTTAAGCATGATAGCTTCCACTTGAAAATGGAGTAGACTAGGGTATATCTCACAAGATTTTTGGTATCATACCAAAAAGCTTTTTGGTACTAAAAAATTGAATTTTTGTTATAGAAAAATGCAGAAAAGGTCACGTGTAAAGTAAAAACAAGGCAACCGGATTGACCTGTTGCTTATTTATATTGTATAACAATAATGGATGAAAGATGTACTACAACAATGAGAGAATTACAAAGATAATGGTATAATTACAATATTACTTCCAGAATTTACAACAATAGTGAGAATAATAACAAATAAAATGATATTCTTACAAAATCATTGTGAGGTTAACGATATTACTAGGTACAAATACAAAAGTAATGGTATAATTATAACAAGAGAAAGAAATTTTGAACATTAGTGGAAACAATTACAAAGATAATGAAGTATTTACTACATCAATAAGAAATGTACAATAATAGTGGGGATAATTACAAAACTAAAGGTATATTTACAACAAAGTGGATAAATTTACAAGGAGAACATACTCGTAGTCTGTACTATATATTTTGATCGATTTTAGTAATGTATGATTGATCACTATATGGTAAGGTGTGGTGTAAGGAAAAACAAAAGTTTGAGAAAAAATAAATAAATATATAGTTTGATCGAACATGAATATGAATGATAGATCATATTGGTTCAATCGAGGAAAAATAAGTACTATGGAGGTCCGTTCAATTGAGGAAAAAATATAATAAATCAATAATTAGTAAATTTACTAAAATGCCCTTGAAAAGTAACATGTAGTGTAAAAAAAAAATAATTAAATTCAATCGATCTCATGCATATAGTGATCGATCATATGGTTACATGTTTGTAATTTAAATCAAAAGTAATAAGTACGGTGGAGATCTGATCGATCGTGTTAAAAATATAATAGACTAGTAATAAGTAAGTGAATTTGATCGATCAAAAATATATAGTGATCGATCTTATTGTTATAGATGTATTAGTTGAAGTATAGAATTATATTATGTGGGTTAGTGATCGATCAATGATAATTAATGATCGATCAAGGAGTTACAGATGTAGTAATTGAAGGAGCAAGTGGGATTGCAATCGATCAATAAAAAATTTGATAGATCAATTTATGATGTATTTACTTAAATGTCTACAAACAGTAAGTAATAGAAGTGTTATAAGAGAGCTTTATCATAAATAATGATTGTAGGATACCCAAATCCTACAAATTAGCCCTAAATCGCGCCTTATTCAAAAAACCCATTCCAAATCTCCCAATTCCATAAACCCTAAATTGCCCATCACCCCAAATCTCTTTCATGCGATCACGTTCGCCAAGATTGGAATATCCTTAAGCGAAGTTGAAGAATAGTGAAATTTCCATTGTGAATCTTCTTTTGTAGCTTTGTTGATGTTGGGCGGAGAGACAAAGAAACGGAAGAAGGTGGATAGTGGGGGGAGTTCTTCCAATGCGAAACTCGTTGTGGATAAACACACTAAAAAGAGGTATGATACATTCATTGTTAAACGTCCTCTGTTACTTGAGCATGATGTTTTTCTCGATGATCTAGTAGGCAATGTAGATTGCCCTGAAATACTTCATGCTTAGAAATGAGATCCTCTGTTTGATGTGAATATGAAAGATAAAGCATATGTTGATCTGATTAAGTTCTTTTATGCAAATATTCATGAGTGCAAGGAGAATGAGCTTACACTTAAGTCATTGGTTAGGAAAAAATCCATCACTGTTTTCGCTTGATCTTATTTCAAATATATTAAAAATTAATAAACCAAACAATCGTAAGAATTCCATTGTCTTTCCATATTCAAGTAAGGAGCAGTTTCCCAAAATGACGACGGTTATTTGAGGTATTTGTATTGGGAGTGTCCCTTGGAAGAATGAGAAAAGCAAAATTACTCACATTGAACTTACACATACATTTAGGATGTTAAACTGCATTGCTGCTTTTAATATACATCCGAGAGGACATACTGCTGAGATTGGATACGATACAACCCAACTGTTATATGCTATTGGTGAACGTGGAGTTTATATTGATCTACCCCTTTACATTTTCAACCATGTTCTTGAAGCATCTAAGGTAGAGGATTGCAGGCCATGTCTTCCATTTCCAATATTAATTTTCAAGATTCTGAAGCATAGTGCTGTTGAATTTCAGTAGAATGATAGTTTTATGTACCCCATGAATGCAATGGGTATGGGTACACTAAATAAAAGTGTGGGAGTTATTTTGGGTGCGAAACGGGATAAGTGTGTGAAGCAGCCATCAACGGTGTCTCAGGTTATGGGTAGTCAAGCTGATTTTGCTTTTGGTACTAGTGAGGTTGGACAAATACTTCAACAAATGGTTGAAAAGTTTGAGGCCCGATTTGAAAAGTTCGAGGATGAAACGAAGGGGTCATTCTAGCGTTTGGAGACATAATTAGATAGTTTTTATTAGGACTTTAAAGAGTAGATCAACAAATGACACCTTGGTTTTGTTTTGTTTTTTTTGTTTTTTTGGTTGTATAGTAATATTTGGTATTTTGGCAAGGGTGTTGTAGATGTTGTGAGCCTGGTTGTTAAATATATTGGATACTAGTTATAAACAAATTGAGGTTTGATGGTTTTTGAGTTTGGGTACGATGAATGCGAGATTTGTGCGTACTTTCATGTTTATTTGATTTTAACAATGAAGTAATGTGAAGGAAGCAGATAAATTTTACCTCTCCACATTAGGTGGGATTAATTGTAACAACATATTGCAGTTTTTAGACTACTTCCTTCATTTTTCCCTTGTCATCTATACAGGAAAAAGAGGGTGTGGGGTTGTACCTTCCATGCAACTTAAGAATGCTGCATTGTATGGTCGGTTGCTGAAGAGCAAAAGGTTGATTATCCTAGATTATTCTAGTGGCTAGATGTGTACATGTTAACATTGCAACAAGTATTCAATGCAGTATTGTAATGAAATCGTGAAATAGTAGTCTAAACACTGAAAGTACCAAAAATTGGCCTAATTGAAAAATTGGCATGATATCAGTTGACCTAATTGAAAAATTGGCATTACCAAAAAAAATCTTTCATGGCATCATCACTTTTATTCACGTGAACAATGATGGCATGATAATTTTGCAATGTTGGATGGTAATACTAAAACAATCTGCATATTCTTCATACTCAAACCTATTATGGTGCCGACAACCCAGCATGGTCCATGGAATTTCAAAATATGGTTAATATTTGATGACCTAATTTGGGACATAATGAATTAATATCATTCCATTGGCGATAGACCTCTATAAAATGTTGTAAACTGGCCATTTAATAAGATTAGTAGTAATGCTACTTATTCTTAATTTGGAGATATGATGTTTTATTATTATTAGATTGATAATGAGTAATGCTACTGAAACCTAATTTATTGATTTAATACATCACAATCATTGAATTAACAAGCGACTCAACATTAATTAGAATCCGCTATCAATTTAATAATTATGATACGTTAGATCAATAAATAAAATTCAAATAATGTTTTTCATTGATAATACACCACATTCATTGTAAAACATATTGATGATCCAATGATAATAATTCATTATAAACGGGATCTCTAAATTAAGTCAAAATAATATTATTATATATTTAATGAAGCTGTCACTTCCAGTTTCTTGTCCCAGGGGCTGACATCAGCATTTTTAAGATTGAAGTTGGGTTGATGCCACCCAAATGAGAATAAGGGTTACACAATAATTAATGGAAAAACTACTCGTTAAGCATGATAGCTTCCACTTGAGAATGGAGTAGACTAGGGTATATCTCACAAGATTTTTGGTATCATACCAAAAAGCTTTTTGGTACTAAAAGATTGAATTTTTTTTATAGAAAAATGCAGAAAAGGTCACGTGTAAAGTAAAAACAAGGCAACCAGATTGACCTGTTGCTTCACATATATTGTATAACAATAATGGATGAAAGATGTACTACAACAATGAGAGAACTACAAAGATAATGGTATAATTACAATATTACTTCCAGAATTTACAACAATAATGAGAATAATAACAAAGATAATGATATTCTTACAAAATCATTGTGAGGTTAACGATATTACTAGGTACAAATACAAAAGTAATGGTATAATTATAACAAGAGAAAGAAATTTTGAACATTAGTGGAAACAAAATAGTCAACATGGGAATTTGAATCCACCCAAAATAGGCAATTCAATGAATTATCATCATAAACGTTGTAACCGAAATAAAATAATGGGTCTAACTCCTCTTTGACGCTCAAGTATGCTAGTGCAACTTTAGCATCCCCATCGAATATTTCATCTCTTCGTTGGCTTGCAACACTATTGTACAAATCTTTCCATGTAAAGCCAACATTTTGGTAGTCGTTTGCTTGATGCAACATAAAATCTTGTATTTGGCTAGTGCATATTCCAACACGGTGAAGTGTTGTTGCTTGCTCTTTGTCTGGGCTTTTTCCATGGCAGTGTGACCAAAGTAACGACACACCACTCGATAGAACCAACGGATGATTATGATCCTTCACGAACTCCTTTACTACCCATTTTTCGACTTACTGTCATACTTAACGTGGAATACTGCCAAACAACCCACTCGAGTTATTCTCCTTGGTTCCCTTACCCTTTTATCTTGGTCTAAGTATTTTGTAGCTCGAAACCCTTGTCGCCAACATATCTAGTTCCTTGACACCGGCACGTGGTTTTTGTCATATTTTAAGTCATCTTCCCTGACGCTTAAACCTACAAACTTAGCGTGTGTATTATAAAAATTACTTGCTTCATCTTCCGAGTTAAACTTCATGTCAAGGACTTCTTCAGCTGATAAGTCTAGTAAAGTATTTTCTAGTTCGACGGGTATTGAAGTAGCGGCAGTTGATTTACCGTGGCGATACCCATATTCACCATTATATGTACCAAACTCATACATATCACTACGTATTGGATCTTCATTCAAGTCTATAACAACATGCTTTTCTTTTTCAAAGCTACTACGATCCATTTGATGCGTGAAACCTATAATAAATTTTTTCTGAAAATATTGAAAATAATGGGTTAAAATAATGAGAAAAAATTATTGTTTGACATACCTTTAAAAATAATTGAATTACTGTAACAAAAACATATTAAAATAGTATTCTAATGTATTGAAACTAAATGACATTCAAAATAGTAGAGATCATGTGTGACATACCTTTAAAATTTCCTCTCCTCACATGTAGTTGTAGACATGTACATACTCTGTATGTCGTTGGAGTTGGTTTATGAGAATCCAACTACATACGGAGACTACTGGATTTGTTAGCAAATGGTAATTACATGTAGTTGAGGCACATTGAATTGAGGATGGGATTAGGTGGACAACTTTTATTGATATGCATTAACTTACAAATTTGAGTACGGTATCACCATTAAGATAATTAGTGTTACTAGTGTCATAATTATATTTCTATGGCTGTAACAAAATACAATTTATATTTATTTTTGTGGTAGTCACTAAAAAAAATTATGGATAATTTTTTAAAAATAATTATTACTTTATTATTATATTAAATTTATTAAACTAGTCAGCGGAATATAAACGGGTTGACAGGATTCACCAGAACATGACTCGCTTATTAAACGTGTATGACGGGTTAATCTGTTTACCACCCGAACCTATTAAGATCTCATCCGAACCCGATTCATTCGAATCGGTTAATCATGTTGTGCGGACTTTGACAGGCCTAATAAATCCGTTAACAAATTAATTTTAATATATATACCCATTGGAGTAATTCACACTTTTTTTTTGTTACGATTCCAATTTTGTTTCATTTTTTATTCATGGATTTAAAATTGATCGTTTTTTTATTTTTAGGATGAATTAAATTACATGTTACATTTTTTGGGATATTTTAATATTATACTTAAATTTTTAATATCATACTTAAATTTTTAATATCGGTAAATTTAATAAAACAAATTGTCATGTGTCCGTTTACCATCCCCATTTTTCTCCCAAAATTGCACACCCAAAATTAAAGAACATCACATTGTCTCTCTCTCTCTCTCTCTTAGAACCAACAAATCTTTCTCCTTCACTCCACAACACTCATTTCATTGTTTTATTTATCAGGGACAACAACTCCTCTCACCTGGCTTGGGACAAAAGAGGCTTCATCGTCATCACAGAGGCTGGTGGTGGCTGATTCGCTTTCTTCCAAGGGTTCACCATCTCGGTATGGAGTTCTCTCCCTCTCTCTCTGTATATATACCACTGAATCCCATTGAAACCTCATCTCTTTCTCTCTCTCAACTCCAACTGAAAGCTTCAAAAATCGATCGAAACCCATTTCTTTCTATCTATTGGTTCCTACTGAAATTATTGATTTATTAGGGATTTAAAATTTCTGATTTAGTGATTTGGAATTTCTGTTTTGTTGTATATTGTTTTGTTGGAAATGGTTCAAGGCCTATATACTGTTTTGTTGGACATGATTCATGGCCGTGAATCTTGGAGGCAGATTCTTAATGGAATGGTTTTCATGTTTTAATACAACTTTTTTTTCGTTAATAATTTATTTTGTTTATTTGTGATAATTATTTGATTGTTTGGTTTTCTTAGGCATTGAAGTTTACTCAATAGAATGAAACAAACATGGGAATCATGTAAATATGGGGATATTATTGTGATTTTATTTTTTATTTTTTATTTTTTGTGATTGATTTCAAGGTTTTGCCTAATTTTCCACTTGAGTTTTCTAAGCTTCAGCCATGTTTCATTTAATCTTATGGTTGTTCCATGGTATTTATAATGAAAGCTCATCCCCTAAATAGGTACCGGTGATTCATTTTTGAAGGCCTATTGTGGATGAGAGTACTTACATCTTAAGCAACGACAATGTAAAGAAATTTGATTGGGCTTACATATTTTTCATATGTTAGTTGTTCACAGTTTGCATTAAATGAAAAAAAAATATCACCAGGGTGAAGAGGAAACAAAAGGATACTACGACCACGACAAAGAAACAATAGCAACGAAAACAAGCGTGTGCTGAAGTCGAGACACCTAGACGAGTATGTTATACATTCTTACATTAAGTTATGTTGACCAGTATGCATACAAATAAGCAGTTTGTTCAACTGGACATGTACCGCTCCGTAATAATAGTTCCATTATTTTACATGTATATCATTTTGTGGCGACAAGATGTTCCCCACAAAAACTAGTGAAATTTGTAGCAAAATTAAATGTTGCGCAGAAACAAACCATCAAATCAATTAACTTGGGGGGGATTGCTTACCAGACGCTGCAAGTATATTAGGCAGGATTTGTGTGCATGGTTGGTTGAAAGATTTGATCCCCAGAAGTGTGCATTCAACATATATGAGAAATGTATGAAGTTCTGCCCCGAAGATGTGACATACATACTAGGGTTGCCATGCGCAGGGACACATGTGTTGACCATGGGAACAAATGACAAGATTACTAAAATTTGTATGTTTATATTTAATGGACAATCAGAGGTGTCTTTGAAACATTTGGAGGAGAGCATTAGTGCAATCACAGACGACTCTAATGGCTTTATACGTTTGGTTGTTTTATATATTATTGGTTGTACGCTTTGTCCAAACATGCAAACTATGCTAAGTGTTTCTGCATTACATTATATTGTTGTCGTGCCTTCTTTATGACATATTAATTGGTGTAAGTTTTATTTGATGAAGTCATCGAAGGCATGCAAAAATGTCAAAGTTCAAGACGGGGATCAATGGGTGGTTGTCTAGTAGTTCTCATTGTAATTTAGTTATAAAAAATATGTTTGTTAATGTATATGTGGTCTGAAAAGAATTTGTAATATCTTATGGTCTTCACTGGATTTGTTATGTAGGTTTTTTTATCTTGAACGAGTTACACCAAGAGAAAAAACCATCATTCCTTTGGTGTATCGAGACGTCCCACATATTGGACAATGGGGTGACAACGATGTCAGTAAGCGAATGCGAGATATCTTGAAGTTCGGAGGCTTCAAGCTAGAAAAGGTATACATAGGGTTATTTTTGCATCTTCACTGTTGTATGTTAATGTCTTACATATTCTTTGGCGCGCATATTTTCTTGATTTTATGCATATAGTTGTCGGTCTTCGTTGAGGAGGAGCTATTTGAAATGCACTTGGTATCGCCACCCAGCAAGCATTGTCTGATGTACGTAAATATATCATCTCATTGCATATATTTGTCAAATCCTTTTATAGAAGAGCATAGCTTGTGGAGGATTTACTATGCTTTGTATTTTTTTTGGAGCGGCGAATTATTACAACCAATCTATTATAATGGCAATTGTTTTGTAGGATTTGCGGTTAACAATTGCAAGACTTGAGGTAGTTGTTGAACGCATGGAACAAAAGTTTGATACTTTTTCAATACATTGCACAACGTCTTTGTTTGTAATGGAGAAAAGATTGGGTGAGATTGGACATATTGTGTCCCAATTTGTTGATAAATCGGGGACTGTGAAGGATGCGCCACACGACATGGGGGGAAATAATGAGGTAGAGGGAATTGATATCACTAATGTGCGTACATTAGCCATTTTAATGGTCATACATATTCGTTTTTTTTTTGTCATGACCACATCTCTTACTGATGACTTTCTTTGTGAATTGATTACTAAAATTTATCTTGTAGGTTGAATTGGATGATCCAAAAGCCTCAGAGGAATGCTGATAAGAAGAATTACGTTTTATTGTGTTTTTTATTAAAAATGCAACATGTGTTTTCAATTGCGTGGCACTTAGAATCCCTTACAAGATAAATTTCTTTGTAGATGACAGATGTGGTGTTCTCATGAGTAACTCATATTGATGCTGATGTTGAGCGCAATCTACAATTACATATTTGACAACAACCTACCACCTAAATATGTGATGGTGGACACTAGATTTGACACTATATCTTATGCTTAACAACTGCTACTTGTATAATTTTCCAATGCAACTACGGACAAAATTAATGTGATTTGTACAACTTGAGTGAGCTTCTGGTGTCATTTGCTGACCTTGATGATGGCACGCGGGAAGTGTTATTGACCCTTGGCCAGGAACAATGGCTAAGTGGACTTTTTCGTGAATCATCCTTTGTTGATTTTTCTGTGGTGACATTATGAGCATCAAATTAACATATCGTGTTAAAAATGTATTAGATAATTGATTTGTGTGCGTGCATTGCTCCATAAACAGGACGATGGTACTTAACTATGGTCTTCTCTATAAGTTCATGTTTTCATTTCATGTAATTTTGAGTTGCATTCTTCAATAAACATTTCGTGTCATGTGGCAAACACATTAATGCGTGTCAATTGATGCGATGTAGCAACAAGCCCTTGCAAGTACCACCACCCACAACCATGGTACAACGGGAACTCTATAAAAATAGAAGTTTAATTGCCTTATACTTCCTAATTTTAGAACAACTACCAAGGTATCCATTGTAAAAATTTCAGTTTGTTATAGTTTTTAAGTTAATCCAGGCTGCATATTAAATACCTATACCGGATTTTATGAATAAATGGTTCTTTTTATTTATATATATGTCCCAATGAATGACAATTGCTCACATTGGTATCTATTATTGGTGGACATAGAGAACAAACAAACATCCCTACTCGATCCTCTGCCAACTCCAAAAAGAAAAAGGACTCGTCGCACAAATGCGAATAGAGTTGTAAGATATTTATGGTTTTCAGTAACAAAAGAATATGTGCCAAATATTTTGGTGCAATTACATGCCTGTAAACCCCACCCTTTTATATTTATATATGTATGTAGGTTTATGTAGCAAGTTATTATTTCCTTTGAAAATGTTAATATGAAAATTCGAGAAAATAGTAGTTAAAACTTAGTTTAGCTTGCAAATATATGAAGTCGTTGTAATAAAACTTGCACCAACTATGTTTGATGTATAAAAGCATGTTGAATAAGCTTGGGTTGGATTTGAAAGGGTTTGAAATAAAAAATAGAGGAAATAGGCAAATTTGGACAGGACCTACCGATAATACGCTGTCTAGTGGATCCGAATTACTGGTTGTCAACAGGTAGCAAATGTCCAATAGATTCAAACTACCACTACTCAACAGGTAGTCAGTGGCGAGTGGATCTAAACTACCAGTAGTCAACAGGTAGTAAATGTCCAGGAGTCCCGAACTACCGGTAACTCAATAGGTAGCAGGTTGCCAGTGTATCCGAACTACCGGGAGCTCGATACGAACTACCGGTAAATAGTTAAAAAGTTGGGATTTTCTGCTTTTAAAACCCCATTTCCACTACATTTACGCTCATTCTTTCACACCACTCTCACTCCACACCTCTTAGAACCCCAATAGAAAGACATAGAGAGGAAGAAAGAATGGGAGAACAAGAGTTCTAAAGGGGATTAAAAGATCAAACCTAACTTCTCCAAGAACATCAAAGTAGGGAGTTTTCTTCCATTCTTGTCCATTGATGCAATGGCTAATATATATGTATTCTTTGACTCTAAATCTTATATATTTGCTATGAAATCATCTTTTCTTGGTTTTCTTGCAATTATTATCATGTTTTACACAAGTTAGGGTTCAATACCCATGAAATCTCTTGTTCTTGCTTTAAAACCCTAGTTTTTGGAGAGTGATGAATTTTCTTCTTAAATTCTTTCTTTCTTTATTATTGATTTCGAAACTATAGTGCTTTGAGTTGAGTACTAAAATGATATTGATGATGATCTCTGGTATTTTATTCAATTGTTCTATTGAAATACTACATGTGAAATTGAAGATTTATGAAATTGTTTATTATTTGAGGAAATTGTTGGTATTGTATCTCTTGTGTGATTGTTGGATAAACATGGGCTACTATTGACCGGGTATCTTGGAGTGTGTAGACGTATTCTTACTCCGTGTGGGTTAGAATTTTTTCTACCACTCATAATGGGGTTAGTGCCTTGCGAGGACTAAACCATTACCGTTTACGGGTTATCGTGAAAAAAGGGGTTAGTATACTACTCTTTGGTTGGATACGTCACTGCCATGGTGTTGGCATACACCCTTCCTAAAGGTTGGATATCCTTGCAAGAATTTGTGTGGATTATACGTGGGTCATGATATTTTCGATAGTATCCATGTGAGGTCTTACTTCATACCAGAGATACGAATACAATGGTAGGTTATTGTTCATTATATCATAACTAATTTCCACAAGAATTTTAGAAAGTATGAGATTCTGCAAGAACTTGGGAGAAATGGTTTATGATGGATTGGATTATTAGTCGTATGTTGGTTTCCCATATACATTAAATTATTGTTGTTGCTTAAACTGGAGATCTGTTTAAATGTCCCTGTTTTATTTTTAAATTCATATATGCTATTTGTGAAATGAGACCGATTGTTTTTATATATTTTTCTCAACCTTATTCGAGTTTGGGAGAAATGTTGCTACAGAGCTTAGTGCTCACTCCCCTACAAATTACATTTTTTAGATTATGTACTGGAGGAGAATTTTAGAATTGAGGAACCGGCACACTGGGAGATTCCCGTAGATGGGCATGTTGATCCCAAGGTGGACGCTTAGAACAACATTACTTTTTATTCTAGACTAGGAAATTTACTTTAGAAATATTGTGAAGTCTAGACTCTTTTGTAATTCCGTTGCGAGTTTATGTTTAATTCTTTTGGGATGTAATGGTCATGGTTGGCCTATTCTTTTGGGATAATATTGTAAATGTTATAGTGGATGAATGAAATTTCTTCATGAATGAATTATTTAGTTGCTCCTATGATGTGAATGGTTCTTAGTTTGTAATGCCGTCCAAGGTGGTCTTTGGGGCGTTACAAAGTTTGGTATCAGAGCTTAGACTTTAGCTCTTACATGGGAGCTGTAGGTTATGAATTACCACTTGAGAAGTAGGACTAGGTTGAATAGAATTGTTGACTCAAATCTTATTCAAGCCTTATGTTTTGGATTAAAGTGATAGTTAGGGTGTCTAGTACATTAAGGAAACTAAATTGTAATTGATGAGCTATTCCGCTATGCCACGGAGTTCATATCTACCGAGGCCAAAGGGGCTAAACGATTCGAGTAGGTCCTGAGACCTACCATCATGGAGAAGATTGTGGATCATAAGAGCCGGGAATATGGGGATCTTGTTGATAGAGCTGCATTGATAGAGAAAGACACTGAAGACAACCAACGACGATAGAACTTCACGAGGGGAGATCTGATCAGGATTGGTGCTAGCAACTGTGGAGTTACACAAAGGGCAGTTCCATATCGCCTACCTGACCAAGCTTTGGGGCAAGGGAATCAAGTCGTTAGAGGAGCTGGAGTTACTCCGAATAGAGCAGACACTGACCCACGTCAATGCTTCGCATGCAGAGGTTTTGGGCACTTCAAAAATAAATGTCCATCGTTTCCACCAAAGACCAATCAAGCAGCTGGAAAAATAAATGCAAACAAGCCACCACTACAGAAGCCTCTACAACAGAAACCGTTACTAGCTCTAGCCCCAGGCAGTGCCAATCAGGGAAGTGTGTTTGCTTTGACCCAACAGGAGGAAGACATTTCCAATACCGTTCGGACTGACTAATACGCCAGAAGCCTTCATGGATCTAATACACAAGGTATTTCGGCCGTATCTAGATCAGTTTGTCATCGTGTTTATTGATGACATACTAATCTATTCCCGGACTCACAAGGAACATGGACGCTATCTCTCTATTGTGCTACAGACATTGAGAGAACATAAGTTATATGCGAAGATGAGTAAGTGCGAGTTTTGGATGAAGGAAGTAAAATTCCTTGGCCATGTTGGGTTGGAACAAGGGATAGCTATTGATCCTGCAAAGATTGAAGCCGTGATGCAATGGAAATCACCTAAGAATGTGACTGAAGCACGTAGCTTCTTGGGTTTAGCAGGCTACTACCGGAGATTTGTTGAAGGGTTCTCCAAGCTAGCGATGCCGATGACTCGCCTTATGAAGAAGGGAGAAAAGTTCTTGTGGACTCAAGTGTGTGAACTAGCCTTTCCTACCTTGAAGGAGAAGTTGACAACCGCTCCTATCCTCATTATTCCGAGCAGTGGGGAATGATATGATGTGTACACTGATGCTTCGCTATGAGGTTTGGGATGTGTACTAAAGCAAGGAGGCAAGGTTGTTGCTTATGGTTTGAGACAATTAAAGGTTCATGAGCGAAATTATCCCACTCATGACATGGAGCTTGCCGCTGTGGTTTTTTCTCTCAAGTTGTGGAGGGGTTACTTGTATAGGAAAAAGTTTCAAGTATTCTTGGATCATAAAAGCCTCAAGTATGTGTTCACACAGAAAGATTTGAATCTTCGGCAGAGAAGGTGGGTTGAATATCTAGAAGATTATGACTTTACACTCAACTGCCATCCAGGGAAGGCCAATGTAGTCGCTGATGCACTTAGCCAAAATTCTTAGGGTGAACTCAATGTTCTTGCAAGTACTGAGATATGGGGAGAAGCTATGTGTTCCCTATGTTCGTCCCTAAAGGAGGAGATACTTGGAGAGTGTCATCGCTCTAAATTTGCTATCTACCCCGATAGCACAAAAATGTATAGGGACATGAAGTGCCAATATTGGTGGAAGGAAATGAAGAAGGATGTGGCAAGGTTTATAGCATGATGTGCGGTGTGCCAGTAGGTGAAGATCGAACATCAAAAGCCAGGAGGAT